ATTCTCATTTAAAATGTCTAGCTTTTAATAAATAATTATCTGAATCCTACAATCAAAGTTTTTATCTGATGTAAAATGTATAGAAATCATACATATACCAACAAGACTGTACATCACTGCCACAACAGTGTTTGTTTTCATTCAATTTTATGGCTTTTCCTATAATACCTGGTGGGCCGGTCTCTAGTCAAAATGCCCGGGCCGATTTTTTTGTCCCAGTCCAGCCCTGGGCACGACATGCAGTGAATTAATTTGAGAAGGTGCATTAAAAAAATAAATGGCTGGGCCAGCGGTGCACATTGCAAATTAGCTTGCATAGACACATTAGTTGTGCTGCTTCTTAATGACAGTATCTTAGCTAACAACCCCAACTACCAGATTCAACTTGTAATTGGCTAAAAATAACTTAGCCTACTGGTGAGAGGGATGTTGCTAGCTGGCAGTTTTTTCAAGCGATGTTGAAATTTTCACATTCCAACACTTCAAATGCTTCAGGAGCTGTTCGCTCAGCGCAGCATCAGCACCACGGAAATACACGGATACATCCGAAGACTGAGACAGAATTCACAATGTATTTTCGGGACTTTCAGGTGTATGGACCAATGTTTTCTTTTCTGATCAAACCAGAAAGCTTTAATGAGCAGCTGGATTTGTCTCGCATTAACTGGCTGAGTTAATGCCAGTTAATGCGACATCGAAATGCAGCTGATTGAACTGAAAACCTTGACTCTGTGGGGTCAAAGTTTGCAGAACTACGAACGCAGCTGGTATCCATAGCTGTGCGTGTTAATGGAGCTTGCATTTTCACTTGCTGGACATCACTACCTGACAAGTTTAACTGTCTTCAGAACATTGCAGAGGCCTTATTGACAGTATTTGGTTGTACAAATAGCAGATTTTCTCTCACATGAAGAGTGTCCTCAGGTAGCCGTCTGAATGCTGGACACTCGGAGACCTGTGTCTCTGAGTGGGAGACCAGAGATCAGATTAACATGTGTATCTCTGTATTAACAAACATACCATACTGACCCAGTTTATTTTTCTTATTATTGTTGTGAGGAGACCATAAATAGTATTTGCATTTTCTGCTCTACAGTTCCTTTGCTGTTATGGAGTTCTTGTTATGGATAAAAAGTTTATTTTTTTGTTTCAAAATAGCTGATAACTATTCGCTGATAGCTGCCAACATCTGCGAACAAATATAATTCTATAAAGTTGTTCTATATAGTGTGTAACTGTTACTATAGAGCATTATTAAATTTATTGCTAATGCAGTGATATGGCACATTGACTTCTGAGGAAATTTTAGATGGCACTCATCATCAGAAAGGTTGCCTACTCCTGATGTAGATGAACTCATGCTGCAGATCGGTTGCTGTGGTAGATAAAATAAATGCTCCACCAAAGTACACCAGCAATGCTCACCTTCAGGCAATTTTCTTTTGCTGGCAGTGGCTGGCTTGGATTTCTTACTCCTGACAGTGGACCCTCGACTGCTGATCCCACTAATTACAGACATAGTGTCGTCGTCTGCTCCAGCCTGCAGAGAATTTCTGTATGAGATGAGAGGCAGCCAGCAGTCTTCTCTCTGCAGGGCCATCTGAAATGTCATGAATCGCTCCAAGTACATGTGACTGCAAAAAGTGAAATGACAGTAAACATTAGAGTCTTTTTAGAGGTTCTCATCATTTTCATGCTCACATTACTCATTGTGCCGCAAACTTACACTGTCCTCTTGTCCTGACGAATTAGTTTGCTAGAGAACTCACTCAGGATATCCAAAAATGCTAAATTAAGCGGTGGACTTCCTTCTCCTTGGGGACTTGGCTCTTTAAAGGCAAACTCAATCCCGTCTCTAAAATAAACAAACAAGACATGACATATGAAAGTTCCTGTTCATTAGAGCAAATGATGTTTGGGTTAGGGAAATGACTTACTTATGTAACATGGCAATAGCCTCTCTGGTCTTCAGCTGATCCAAACCAAACGTCAATGAGAAGCGCCGGGCGAGCTCTTTTATGCCGCAGAAGGCTGATGAAGAGCGGTCGAAATTGAAGCCGAGTTCAGACAACATCTCATTGAACAACTGCAAAAGAGGTTTGAAATATTGTTTGTCTGATTTCAGTAATTAAAAGCCTCTGAAGACCCTGAGAAGATTTTTTCCAGACTTAAATGCAAATAAAGGATTTTGGGGCTGACTCCTTTATCTCTTCTGTTTGGTGAGGTATCGCTATTTGAGGAGGCCCGGAAAGACTTTATCGGGCTTCCAGCAGTATGATGATCTAAGTGATGATGATGCTGGATCTCAAGGACAGCCTGGCTGCTTACTGACAGTACAGAGAAAAAAGGCGCTTCCTTATCTATGTGTTAAGACAATTCATCTGTGTCTCCTAAACAGCGGCAAACCTGGTCTCATCATAATATCAGCAACCAGTATGTTTTACACATTAGTGACCATCCATCTGTTTCACATGTCATACCCTTTGCAGGCTCAATATGAGCGTCTTTGCACACTGGATTTTGTCGATTTGTCTCGTCTTACTCATTGTTTCCTTGATGATATCTCCATAATCGTTGTAATACTGAGGAGAAACAGGAGAAATACTGTTAACTAAAACAACAGGGCTGGATGATTTCGTTATAATCTCTACAGGATTTAGACCTACCCTCATGTACTGTTTAAATATATCTGCTCCGGTGTTTATTTCCACAACATTGTAAACGATTAATTTGCAATAGGCAGCAAGAAGGTTTCTCCTCTTATGTAGAGCTTCAATTTTACTGGCTTCATCATCTTGTTGTCCATCTAAAAAAAGGAAAAATTTATAAAAAGTCACGTTCCTTCTTTAAACAGAGTGTGGTAGGTTCATATAAAACAGGGTAGTGTTTTCTGACCTGTGCTGTTGTCATCATCCTGATCAATGAAAACATGATCCAGGATGAAGTTGAGTAGCTCTGCCTGCAAAGAAGAGTCTGGCGAATAGACCAGAGACTCCAACTGTTCCCGGCCTGAAGACATAATTTGGTGACTGAAGATCAGTAGCAGATCACACAGTATAGTGAAGGCCTGGAATAAACACAACACTTGAGCATATATGGAAATGCTGACCACAGAAATTTTCAGTTGCGCTGAAAAAATGAAAAATGAAATATAAATAAATAAATAAAAATGATCTGACTCATCAAAATCCTCACCTGCTCTTTGACTGCGTTGTTGATGGTGTTTATGTAGCGCTGACACATTAAACAGAAAGCTCGCATTTGCTTTCTCAAGGTCACCATGTCACCCTGAAAGGAGTAAAGGTTCAGTTAGTAAAACCCTTTCAAAGTAACATTGTACCTGTATTACCCAGGCATTAAGAAATGTATAACTCTATTTATGAAGCTTGACAGAAAACTGCAATCAGACTGGGAGGTGTTGTAAGCAAAACAAAGTAAAAACATGTAACTCCTACTTTAGATCTGCGTATACATGGTGTCCAAATGTAACTACAGAGAGAATTTACTGTGACACAGGCGGAAGGATATTTTCAAACCGTGATACACTGCCAATCATATTTATTTGGGAAATGTAGGCACAGAAATGTTATTACATGTATTTTGCCAAATATCCCCAAAATGTGAACAGTACCTTTACTGAAGTGCCATCTGAAACCTTCGCTAGATGCCACAGGATGATGTAATGTGTGCACTGCATTGCATGAACCACAATCTGAGAGGAACAAAAATCAAGCAGATTAGATAAACTGCACGTTCAGTATTTTAACATGAACTTAACAGGTCATTCAGAGAGTAATTCTAGTTTACTTGAACTGTACTAACTTGGTTAATGGTAACTTTATTTTGAAAGCTTGACTCTAAATTTTAAAAGAGTTCGATGTTCAGTAATTATTAAGACATGTCAAGGTTCATTTGTGCTTGCTATTTCTTTTTAAATACACAAAAGAATTATTCATATAATCATCTATTTTTTCTGTTTTTATTTTCTGTCACGCATTCACCACTTTGTTAGGTACACTTGCTCGACTGCTCCTTAACACAAATATCTAATCAGCCAGTCACATAGCATCAACTCATTATATTTTGGCATGTAGACATGGTCATGACAACCAAGTGAAGTTCAAAAGGAGCATAAGAATGAGGAACAGAGGCAATTTAAGTGACTTTGAATGTGGCACGGTCATTAGTGACTCAGACTCTGGGTTTATAGAAAATTGTTTGAAAGAGAGAGAAAATATCCACTGAGCAGCAGTTCTCTGGGCAACAAAATGCTTTGTTGATGCCAGGTCAGGATGGCCAGAGTGTTTTTAATGCCGATAAGAAAGCAACAGTAACTCAACCACATATCGAGCCTTGAAGTAGATGGACTACAGCAAGCAGAAGACCACAACACCCCTTTAAGTTGCAAGCAGGAAATTGGGGCTACGGTTCACAGAGGCTGACCAAGACTAGACAACAGAAGAGTGGAAAAATGTTGGCTGTCCGATTCTGCTACATCACTGGGAAGGTAGGGTCAGAATTTGATGTCAACAACATGAAGTCATGGATCCATTCTGCCTTGTATCAACTGTTCATAATGGTGGCAGTGATATAAACGTGTGGGGGACACTTTCTGGGCACAGTTTGGGCCCCTTATTATTAACTGAGCATAATTTAAACACTCAAGCCTGCATGAGCATTGTTGCTGCCTACGTCCATCCCTTGATGACCACAGTGTCCATCCCTTGATGACCACAGTGTCCATCCCTTGATGACCACAGTGTCCATCACTTGATGACCACAGTGTCCATCACTTGATGACCACAGTGTCCATCACTTGATGACCACAGTGTCCATCACTTGATGACCACAGTGTCCAATCTTCTGATGACATGTTGAAGCACCACATCACAAATCTCAAACCACCTCAAACTGGGTTCTTGAACATGACAATGAGTTCACTGTACTCAAATGACCTCCAGTCACCATATCTGAAACCAACAGAGCAACTTTGGGATGTGGTAGGAGGGGAGAGCCACATCATAGATGTGCAGCATCTCTGTGATGCTATCATGGCAATATTGACCAAAATCTCAGAGGTATGCTTAAAGCACCTTGTTCAATCTATGACACAAATTGAAAGCACAAAAGGGGTCCAACTGGGTACTAGCAAGATATATTTAACAAAGTGGCTGGTGAGTATATACGATCAATGATTCTTTCCAAATTATCCCTCACATCACCTGTAACTCAATTAAGATCAAAGTAACATATGGGAATGTAAACACCCTGATTAACTCCATTTGTAGGATTTTGGGGATGACACTGTAATACCTGTTCAGGCATATCGCCATTCTGTAGACCTGTGTTGAGTAGCCTGTAGTTGCTGGTGAAGAGATCCCACTTAGTGAGGTCATGTGCACTGAAAGCAGAAATGTACATTAAATCTATAACATTTAATATGCATGCATGCTGTCACTGACATCTTAACTCGATATGAGAAAACAGAAACGTAAGATTTTTAACAAGTAATGTGTTCAAATCAAAAACTGAAACAGTTTCCATAAACTGCTTTTACTTGTGGAAAGTGGTGATCTTCTTAATTGTGGATAGAACCTGGTAAGCATCATCCTCATCAGGTTCTTCACCCTGACAAACAAGAGATCATATGCTGAAATCTCAGATATTTGCCTCTACGCCTGCGAGCATCCTTTAAAATAATCCACACAGATAAAATCCTTAAAGCACCTACCTCTTGCAAGAAGTCCTCCAGGAGTCTATTAAACTTGTCTACAAGCTCGTCAAGAAGCTGGGAGCGGGCGATGTCCACACGGTTGAAGATGGTGAACTCCTCGTTGCAGAGATAGTGGTAGGTGGTAGAGCAGGCCTCCAGGACCTCAGTGTCTGTGTGCTTATCCACGACTTCCCAGATTTGTCGCAACAGTGCGTCTAAATGCTAATTGAAAGAACATAACATTGTTTCACCAGCAGCACATACAATGCACTTCAGCTGTAAAACAAGCTTTAGAACAAACAACTCACAAACCTTTTCTAACCTCCCAGTTGTGTAGATGTCAAGATCAAAGAACTTTGGTATCTGTAGCAAATTGGTCACCTTATCAATATCAACGCAGTACTACAAAAACAAAAGGGAACGCAGTCAGGCTTATTTCATGAATATTGAACCTGATGAAATAATGAACTCTGAGAACTGAATCACTCACCTTTGCCAATAACAGAGGCAAAGCAACTGCAAACATCTCTGTGACTCGTGTCCGATCATCCAGCTGTGTTTTCTTTTCCTTTGCAGTCAGGACCTTTTCCATGCACAAAACCCCGACAGCACAGTCAACATGAAATCATTCAAGGAGCTAAGTTAATCCTTTCTATCTCAAGCATGACGGCTTGACACTCACCCTCTTCCCCGTGCCTCTGCCTACAGGAGGATGACATTCGCAAGCCTGCCGAATGGCACAGAGCATGATTTCAACCAGGGCTGTCTCCTGACGATCGTTTAGAGCTAAAAAAAAAACAAACAACAGAAAACATAAAGAATGTTATCAAGTATCTAATGAAAAGACTTGACCTTATAAGATAAGCACAAATTAGAGTAAAAGTACAACAAATAAGTAATAGAGTAGCAAAAAAATCTCAGGTGGGACCGTTCTGAGACAGCGCTTCCTTACCTTCCTCTCCTGGCATTGGCTCATCCAGCAACAAGCTGATCATAGTCTCCCAGTCCTTTAGCAGCTCTGACGCACACTCCCACAGGCTATCCACTAAGTAGGCCCCATGTTCATGGAGCTGTAAAAAAATGGAATGTGAATTGTAATGAAATGAAATCATCTATTTAAACACAGATAATACATTTCTGTTATTTTTTTATTCTCTTTGAGCCACATAAAAAAGAAATCTCCAGTGCCTTGCAATAGATGTATGCACAGTTCTGATTCTTATTTAATTATTTAATCCAATCTTAAGAATAATTAAGTACAGAAACACCAAACACATTGATACGTTTCAGTTGAAACTGCCATTTCTGCAAAGCAGGGGCACAGGGCTGACATAAAAGCCTGGTCACCTCACTCTCCAAGAAGAAGAACACAGTAGTCTTGATCAGGCTGCCGTTGAGGCTCTGCCTGCCCCTCCTGGGTAGTCCCTCCTCCTCAGGACCTCGATGGCTAAACAACCTTCAATCAACCAAAGAAACAACAGTTTAATACACGTATGAAAAACAGGCTAAATGAACGTTTTCAGCCTCTTTAGGAAAGGAGGTGGGACAAATCTCCAAAAGTTGATTCTGTTCATCTGGACGTAGCGTTTTGTGAGAGAAACGTTTCGTCACTCATCCAAGTGACTTCTTCAGTCTCAGCTGACTGCAGGTTTCCCCAAATCTTATAAACAGTGCATAAAGACTGAAACCAGCCCACTGAAGGAACAATGGGCTGGGGGTAGGGCTGCTCAATTAATCGAATTTTAATCTCGATTACGATCTGGGCTTTCAACGATCATTAAAAATGACTGAGCCGATTATTAGCACCTCCCTCGTGCTTTACTCTCGCGCTGCTCCGTGTGGCAAATCGAGCGCACCTCTCTGCATTTCGAAACGTGTCACAACAATTAAGAGGACCCGAGGGAAGCTCGGAAAGCTAAGCAGAAGTTGTTTGGAGAGGAGAGTGACTGCTGTTGGTTGAAAAGAGAGGTAAAAAAAACTTCAGTGGTGTGGAAACATTATGGGTTCGCGGAGTCAGACGTGGATCAAGTAGACATAGTGTGTAAACTTTGCTACGGTGTCGTAGCTGCACCACAGAGCAACACTGCAAAGTTCACTAAACATAGATGTTTACATTTTTCATTTATTTCTTATATTGCAAACATTTGCACTGTTATCAGTATTTGCACACTATTTTATATTATTTTTTAAAGTTATTATTCAATACATTGTTATTGTTAAATAAATATCGTCAAATAATTGAGATCTCAATTTCAGTGAAAATAATCGTGATTATCATTTTTGCCATAATCGAGCAGCCCTAGCTGGGAGGCCAGTTTATTAATCATAATTATGCAAATTCTCATGACCATTGATCAACAACCACTGACCAAAACCCACTGATCAAAGACCACTGATCAATGGCCCTGAGTACCATTCACAGAGAGTTGGGGAATGGCTGCAATCACAGCATTGTAAGATGGCGAAAGGTGGGACAAATATCTCATGCATATTTCCTGTGTCTCCTTTATGGAATCTAATTGACTTTACACTTAAGCTGGCCTTCACGCAAGCATTATTTTGCTTTTGTAATAACAAGGAGCCGGCAAAAAAAATTCAGAGCCACCTTCCGAGCCGAGAGCAGTATGGAATATTCCTTTAAGCCCTTCCTCCTCTCCCTCCTTTCTTGGAGCTTAGTGTGCTTCCCATGAATGTTGCTCGCTATGCAGTGCCAACCAGACTCAGACTGAATCAAAGAGCCTGTTTACACAATAAGCCAATCCCTGGAATGTTTCTGTCAGTTTTACTACTGGCACTAAAACCTCCATAATATTTTGAAACATTCAACATTGAATCAACATTCAAGCTGGTGATTCAATTACATCTCTTTCAAATCTGCAGAAAAACACATACTTTTTGAACAGGAACTCCCCCGCTGCGACGGCGATGGGTCGATGTGCCGAGTAAACCAGATGATAAACACTCTCACAGTCCTCTGCTGTCAGAACCTCATCACTACTCCTGTTACATGAAAAGCATAAATAAGTCTTTGTGGTTATTGGATTTTTGATTAAGAAAAACAAACACTGAGAATTATTATTGTTATTTACATGACTTGTAAAAATTTTAATCACAACAGCTTTCAGAATTACGAAGAAAACATAAATGCACAGTAAGAAAAATAACACACTTGTCTGAAGAAAATGTTGACATCTGGTGTCGTGTTGAATTAAAACATTATGTCCTAATAATCACATGCTGTGGTACAAAATTAAATGGAAATTTGAGGAGGCGAGATTACTCACTGTAGGACAAGTGTCAGAAGTTTAATAGCTTGCACTGCAACATCATACTCCTTATCCAGAGTCATAGAAACAATGCGATCCTGTCAGTGAGAGAAAATGTCAGATCTCCATAACATTAGTTGCGGGTATGATGATGGACAAATGGTACTATTTTATCTTTATCAAACATTTACATCTATGCAATGATATCCAAGAAGCATCTACATTTCTAGTAATGCTTACTCACCTTGAAGCGGCTTGTGAAGAGTTCCAGCCGAGTGCAGAGCTCTCTGTTGTAGAACAGGCCTTGCAGGGCAGTCAGGCACTTCAGACGCACTTCACCTTGCTGCAGCCGTAGCAGAAATGCATTAAATACTTGTGAAATCTGAATGCCTGTGTTACTCTGCCACTATTGCAGTTAAAATAGCTTTTAATGCACCCCTAGAGGCAAGTTATGTGAAGTTATAAACAGGTTTTAGATTGATTTCTCTTAGACAGCTGTTTGCAATCCAAACATTTTGAAATGCAATTACATGAAAAGTCTATGTAGAGGTAATAAAAATGTGTGAGGACCAGCAATAATACAACAAACATGGGACATAGCAGCAAGACATGAGGGTGTCTTTCAGCATCAAATAGGATTCTCACAGGCAGACGATTTCCACCAAACAGGAGGTCTGTATGAAAGGCGTCTTTCTCACCCAGCACAAGTGGCTGAACAAGAAAAGCAAGTACACCTCATAAAATATCCACCTGCTTTCAATGTGAGCCAAGTGAAGGCATAAGCTCAAGACTGGAGCACCCATCTAAACTCTGGATAAGTCTAGTGATTGGAGGCGTTTGGAATAAAAGCCCTCTAGCTGAAAGAAAATAGCAGCAGGAGCTCTGGATTTCAAATTTTAACTACCGTAGTTTTCGGGTCATAAGCAACTACTTTTTTCCATTTCCATTAAACATTTTGCCTGGTAACAGTAGACCAATAAAATTGGTAAGTAGTATATATACGGTATATATTTTTACCAGTTGTTAAGAGACGTTGTAATGTTGTTTGTGCACTGTTCCGTAAAAAAAACATAAGCAATGTAATTTGTGTGTTACTGATACGTACGTATGTGTTACAGGCGCTGTTGGAGGAAAAAAAGCATTTGCAGTATGTATTTTTGTATGTTACCATAACGTTTATGTTACCTTACGGATTAAATTAAATGTTAAAAATCCTCACGTGTAATATTTCTGTGTAAATATCTCATATTACAAGTGAAACGCATACGGCTTAAAATCCGGTGCAGCCTGTACAAGCACAAAATTGATTTTCTTTCTAAAATTAGAGCATGCAGCTTTTAATCAGGTG